GAGAGCCCCCTGCCCGCCCCCCCCCCCCCCCCCCGACACTGTCCTGGGCCAGCCCTGCCTGCTCCCGGGGGCGCGGGGAATGAGGATTCCTGTGCACGTCCACTACATTGCAGTCTCACAAATATTAAGATTCCTGCACATCTTATAAAAACAAGCAGCTGAGTCGACACCAAGGGCTCCCAGCTGGAGACGACTGGCCCCCAGCTCCAGGAAAGGGTTTATTCGGGTGTTTGTGGTCTTTCAAAGACAAATCTCAGAGCTCCTCTGCTGGTGCCCTTGCTCTCGACTGTGCAAAGACACTCGCTTGTTTTCCCTTGCTACCTGCCCAGGTTTAATTTTCATTTACCCTGTCTAGAGAAATGCTGCATCGAGGAACTTTCCAAAACAACAAAAAACCCTTTTAGGAGTACAAGAAGTGTTGTAAAATTGCACCAAAGGCAAAACAAAGTGGAGGGAGGAAATCTCACTCAAATACAACAGTTCGACACAAGGCAAACCAAAGAATCTCATTAAACCTCAACCCAGCAGCCACGACAGAGGCAGGTAACATTGCCCTCATCCGCATGCAGTCTGCGATGCCCACAGTATAAACTCTCATTGCAAAAATCAGAGTAAATCAAAAGCTGCTCAGTGTCAGCTCAGCCCTTCATGCTCTGATAACAGATCCCAAGCCTGTTCTGCCTCTAACACACACACGTACGAACAGAGCTGCCTGTCCCCCTCTATAGCAGCAGCGGCTAAACAGGCTTACCCAGGAACAGGATTTAATGTCTTTTCTCTCAGCAGTAATTTCTGATACAGGTATAGAATTTGTTAACCTCAATATTGCCTGTTAGGTTTCATAAGCCATTGTTACCACACGAGGATATAATGCACCGCAACAGGTGAGTACAGAGATTACGCTGACAGCGCGAGCGTTGTGCAGCATGATTCATGGGTGACCGTTCCAGCTACCCAGCACAGTCTCTCTGGAACCGCAGACCCTGAAGAAATGCATCAGGAGCAGTTACAGCCTGTGTGACAGGAGCATCCCCAGTGCCCTGTCCCCGCAGGGTCCCACCGAGGGCTGGCTCGGTCCCTCACCCACTTCTGCTCAGACTCTTTTCTGCTGCCACTGCCTTTTCCCACCACCGCACACGGTCTCACGCCGTTCACGCGGGAGCAGCGTTCAGCCCCACGTGCCCAGCACACCTCCCGAAGGAAGAGCCGTCTCTCGCCTCACCCCTTCCCTTGCCCACCCAAACCCCATTGTGGGGGCTCGGGGCAGCAGCTGCTGTGGTCCCGCTCTCCTGCCCCGCTGCTGGGACCGGGAGCATCCTCCCCACTCCGGATCAGTCACCCCTGCACACGTCAGCTCAGCATCTCCAGGAACAGCAAACTGTGTCATGAGACTTCATCTTAAATACCTTGTGCCATATGGCCGCGATTCTTCTCAGCAGTTTCCGTGACTATAACAGCTTAATGAAAATCAATTTGATGGGGCTGACTCCAGTTTCTGGCACACGCTAGAAAGATGCTAACTAAGATACATTAAATTTTAGAGGACAGCAATCCACATATTGACATCAGAGACACATTCCAAGCCAAATTCCTTTTTAAGGATATGCTTTGCACCAGCTGAACCCCACCAGACACGGACATGGGCTGAGTCTCTACCTGCCAAAGGAGAGCCATGGAAGTGCTCCTGCAATAAATGCTTTTGCAGCCCAGCCCCAACCCGGACAGTGAAGCTGCTGCAGGACCCCAGTGAGGTCTGGAGCTGGATGGGTACAAGGTGCAGCAGCTCTGTGCTGTCACAAAGCCCTTGGGTCGTCTCTCATGAGGCAGGAGCAAAAGCACAACCTGCAGTCACTACTAGCAAACGCTCCCCATCATGTTTCTGATAAATGCTGTCGTAATCTCCTTTCCAGCAATCTTCCCTCAGCAAGCCACTTCTATTTTTATTGTTGCACCCCCCCTGTTATCAAGGTCATCGCCCCCTTTTTTTGAGCAATGAGCTCAGTGAAAAGTTCTTTTAATAATGGGAAATTCACAACCGGCAGCAAAGTGTACCAGAGTACCTGGCAAATGTAAGAAGACAGTTTTTTTCTAATTTGAAGTTTTGCCTTTTATATCACTTCACTTTTTAAAATCACTGCTTCTCAGTGCCCGATTTCCCCCCCAGCCCATCCCCAAGCACCACTACCAGGTTTTGAGGAGCATCCCCCACGCCACCCCCCTCCCTGCCTGCGACACGGGGGCGAGTTCCCTCCCACATGGGAACGGACCCAGAGCAACTGCACCGAGATCAACCGAGATGAGAAAACTGCCTTTGCACCATCATTTGACCAACGGGGCACATCCGCCCCTCGCTCAGGCCCACCCACGGTGCTCATTCCATCACCCGCTTGTGGCGATGCACCAGATACTTCTGCACGGGCTCATTTTCCTATTGTACAATCGAGGACAAGGAGCGCTACGCGATAAAGCACAGCATTCAGCAACTCGGTTTCTTCCAGTCAAGAGGAAAGAAAAACACTGTGGTCCTTTATCCAATTTACTCTCAAGGACCTTAATCATCTTCGCCAGAATTAACAGCTTCCGAAACCTCTGTACTGGAGCACCAGAGAAGTGGCAACTGAGCATGTGCACAATTGCCAAATGCAAACAAGAAGCCAAAAATTAAATGTCCTGATTTTCATGTTATGAATTATTTGTGGCATCTTCTGCTGTCACTCTCCCATGGATTAACATCTCATGTAACACTGCCTGTTTTCTTCTGTTGTTTAATTTGTCTTGCAATAAAAAGAAAAAAAGTCTTTACTAATAATTAATGTGCTTTCAGCAACTCTGTCACTGCACTTACAACAGGGCATCTGAAGAAATGCAAAATACTGCCTTTTGAAGTGCCGTATTTCCCAGTGCTATCATCATGATGGATGGCTGAGCCCGTTCCACCAGTGCAATTCTCCTTCTCCTTTTATCACCTCGAGAAAGGAGAGCTCTGGGCACTGGAGATCCCTGCTGGGTACCACGAAGAAGGGGCATGGGCCAGGCAGCTCTGCACTGCGACGATGGGACCCTGCCCAGCCCACCCTGAGCCTGGAGCAAGGGGCAGGATTCACAGCCGCAGGATCTGTAGCCAGTGCCTGTACCAGCCCCTGCATTTGCTGATGCCGGGGGCCCTCGGCAGCCGGCAACGTGATGGAGCCCGGGTAATCCTGCATCCCAGAGGGGACCGTGGCAGTGTCCCCACCCACAAAGGGTTCACTCCGAGCCACATCTTCAGAGGATGTGCTGCTACTTTCAGTCTTTCCTGTCCTCCCGCCAAACCAAAGATGCTCCGTGTCCCTCCAGCTGTGCTGCACATCTGCCATCTCTGCAATTCTCATTTGGGTTGGGGTTTATCTGCCGTCTCCCTACTCCCCCCATTCCCAAAATCCTCTCCCAGAGCCAATTTGCTTCACTTCTGCACTCAGCCTTTGATGCATTTTGACACGCTTTATTGGAGCCTTGAAAATCAGAACAAGATTGTGTGTGGCATGAGCTGGGGAGCAGGAGAGATCCCACACGTGTCTGCTGCATGTGTCGGAACACAGAGGAGAGGCTGCGGAGAGCAACACGGAGGACCCACACCCGCCAGGGACCCCTCTTCCCCCCAGGACCCCGCGAGGCGTCGGGAGTTTGGGGTGCAGCAAGGCACCGCACGGGTTGTGGAGCCAGGGTTACCATGTGATGCTCATGGTTGCTATAGAAACGGTGGTTTCTCACAAAAAGATGCATAAATAGTCCCTGAGCCTCCCCAGAGCGTGGTCTGCACTGTCAGGCTGGGACACCCCGAAA